AATGTGGGCAGAGATCTAAGAAGGCTGCCGAGACTCCCACCGGGACCCAAATGCTCATGAAGCCGCTGCTATTTAGAGGACACAGTCCTGTAATGAAACAATAGGGGATGGATGCTGTTTTCAGAGAGATGCTGATTTATTGCCCCCTTTGAATGAAACGTCAGAACTTGTCTTGCCTCTAGGCTGACTCACTAGCAGCTTCAGGAAAGGGAAGCCCAGGCAGTCTCCTCTGCACCAGCTTGACTGAGCCAATCCCCGGAAAACTGGGTGACCGGACGAACTTGTCCGGCTTCCTGAAACTCAAAGCATGGCCTCGGGTTCCTGAGGGCACTCTGCATACTGCCGACCTGTGGCTCTTCTCTAAGCAGGGTCACTCCCCCCTTTCATGTGGATAAGGTCTCCACCTCTTATCCGCTTCCAAATGGTCTGTGGTCACCACCCCGCTCCACTTTAGCAGGATCTGAGTTCTGTGCTCATGTGGCCAAAGTCACCAAGGCTACTCTTCCTGCCTCTTGCTCTGAGGTTAAAGATGCCTGGTCAGAGGCGGACTGTGATGCCATCCTGGTCCCCAGTGGTTGGGTAACTAGGAGCTTCAGGGCATCAGCGGCTGCCTCCTCTCTCCATGACTCTCCAGCTTGGGATTTCTGATCTTTTCTTTCTTTTCCTGGGGTGCTCCAGATGACCAAGGAAATAGAGGTCCTTGGTGCTCTGTGGAGGAGTTATGAGGTGTCCATTTGTATTACCAAGTCTAATTGAGGGCCGGCTTTTGTTACAGGGAGAACAGGTGTCTCCAGTCATGAGGGGCTTATATGGGAAGACACACATGCACACATACTCCACCCCACACACACCTCACCTTGTTCATCTTATTAACGAGGTGCTGCTATCATTCAAAAGCCCCAGTGCACTGTAGCCATCTTCTCACCTCAAAACCTCAAACCCCCTCAGAATAAGGGGATTTTTTTTTTAAGATTTTATTTATTTATTTGACAGAGACACAGCGAGAGAGGGAACACAAGCAGGGGGAGCAGGAGAGGGAGAAGCAGGTTTCCCGTGGAGGAGGGAGCCTGACGCGGGGCTTGATCCCAGGACCCTGGGACCATGACTTGAGCCAAAGGCAGACCCTTAACGACTAAGCCACCCAGGCGCCCCAGAATAAGGGGATTTTTTAATGTCCATGCAGAAGTCACTTGGACCACAAATATGGAGGCTTGGATCCTGGGTCCCAGCTTTGTCATCAGCAACATTTCCCCTCTGTGAGCCTCAGATCCTCTTCTAGTCCTGAAACCCCAGGAACCCTATGAGTGGGTCAGGTAGTAGTGGGCTCAAGGAAGAAGGAGGCAGGGAGAGATGGGGCGGGGGATTATATTCAGAACCAGGGTAGGGTGCTTTGGAGAGGTCATAGGCCCGAGTCCGCTGTGCAGGCCTCTGTGGCACCACCTGCTGTAGCAGATCGGGGATCTGGAACCCAGTTGCCGGGCTGGAGTCCGCTTCTCTGTAATGATCATGGGGCTGGGACCTAGGAGCTCAAAGGCTGCACACAATGGGGGCAGCTGGTACATTCTGAGCTGAGAAGTCAGAGCTCTGTGGGAAGCACAGGATGGGCCTGAAGGCCTCGCTCTGCATTTCCTGTCTGGGGCTTGTTTCTCAGCATTTCCTGAGCATGCAGTTTTTCCCCATGTGTCTTGTCAGTATTAAGGAAATAGAGGGCAGATGCCTTTCTTTTCATGGATTTCATGTTCTTTTTTTTTTTTTTTTTAAGATTTTATTTATTTGACAGAGAGAGGGAAAACAAGCAGGGGGAGTGGGGGAGGGAGAAGAAGGCTTCCTGCCGAGCCGGGAGCCCGATGTGGGACTCTGGGACCATGACCTGTGTGGGACCATGACCTGAGCCAAAAGCAGACACTTAATGACTGAGCCACCCAGGTGCCCTGGATTTCATGTTCTGATGGGAGAGAGTGTCCACGTCCATCGAACATGTATTGAACCCTTAGTTCTTGCTTTATCAGTATTTATTGAGTGCTTACTCTGTGTCAGGTGCTGCAAATACAGCATTAAGGAAAGCATAGTCCTCTACCCCAACCCCAAGACACTTCTGCAAGGGGATTGACAGGTGAAGGTTATGGCAGAGTAGACATGGCCCAGTACCTTGAAGGTGGGCGTAGGGGTGCAGATGATCCAGTTTTGAAGGTGTTATAGGAAGGCTTCCAGAAGAGTTGATGCCTATATGGAGATTTAAGGATAAGTAGAAGTTAGCCAGGCCAAGAGGCAAGAGCCAGTGCTCCAGGAGAGAAAAAAATATTTCCATGTGGCTGTGGGCTTTTACCCAGATTAAGACGTAGCCTTCACAGCCAGAGTTCACAGTCTAGTGGAAGAGAGTAGCCCTAACACAGGACAGACCTTGAGTGAGTCCCATAGGAGAAGTTCACACGGGGCTCTGGGAGTGTAGAGAAGATGGAAGGTGGGGGGAGACCTGGCTCGGGGAGTGGCAGCTTGGGCTGAGCCTTGCAGGATAGGTGGACAGGAACGGAAAATGCAGAGGGGTGGGGTCGGGCCTGTCTTCAGGGGTCACGGCAGGTAAATCTAGGCACCGTACCACTTGTGTGGAGGGGTAAAGACAGAAAGTCAAGGTAAAGCCAGAGCTGGGTTAACACTAGTTTTAAAAGCTTGGCCTTGATTTTATAAGGAAATGAGGTGCTGGTAAATGCTTTTAAGCAGGGAGCAGATGCTTAGGATTGAGGTGTGTTACCTGAAGCTGGGGAGGGAGGGGATTCATATTGGATACAGTATAGGTAGTCATGTGATTTACTTGACAATAAATCATAGTTCAAGGGAAAGAAAATGTCCCTTCTACAATTTCCTGATTCCCTAAGGTAAAAAAAAATAAAAAAGTCTATTTCCTTGTCCTCAATTTATCAGTAACAAATCCAGCATGTTCCATTTGTTGACAGGTATGTCCCCCATTCCTAGGGCAATGTATGGTACATAGTAGCATACAGTAAATGCTGTTGAATAATGATTTTGTGGGGAATTATGAGTCACAGTTATGCACCAACTGTCCTTTACACTCTCTCAGAATGACATTGTACTGTATTTAGAAAATTATTTTGCATGATCCTTCCCAAAGTTGATATGATCTTAACTGAAAATGATGCCTTTTTAAGTTGTTTATTTTCAAGTTTTTTTTAGATTGTTTCTGTTCAAGTTGTTTTGGAAAATGCTAAAAACATTTTATATCAACATTAACTCGAGTTCCCAGCGTTGATTATGAAAATTTTATATGCTCCTGCCACACCTGATCCCTCCAAATGGTTTGTCACTTTGGGTAGTTGAACTTTGGGACATTGAACAAATGTCAGTGGAGTCAGTTTTGCATCTGGTTATCTCATGTTTTCTTCTGTGTGGACAGCATCAACAATTTACATATCGAGTCAGTAAACCAATAGTTAGTAGATTGTTTTCTTCCCTGAATGTGTCTTAACTCACAATGTACTGTAAAATACATCAAAATCACATTGTTTGCCAAGCACCAGGCATGGTAATTCCAGACGAGGTCATTCTGACATATGGAGAGCATTTCTGCTGAATCTCTCTTTCCTCGCCAGTCGGCCTGGAATGCCACGGATGCTAGCGGAGGTGAAATTCCACAGTGATTTTGCAGTATTGCTGTTTGCTTTCAGGGATCTAGAGCGGCTTCCTTTTCTCATTGTGTTGAGGGAAAATAGCAAATTACAGATGTTTCTTTTTGCAGGAACTGTAAAAGCACAGTTATTCTGATAATTTCTTAATACAGTGAACTTTAAAGAACTTTCTCTTCTCATTGTCTTCTTAAAAAAGGGGAAACGTTCTTATGATAAATGAACACAAAAAAGGAGGTGGATTTTTTCCAGTAAACAGGGGTATGGTAACGTCCCACAATAGAACTGTGTTGTTGCTGTACATAGATGTTTTTCTAAAACACTGGCTTTTATTTCCAATATATATTTAAGGCTAATCGCTTCTTTGTTGGTGAAAGCTGTAATTCCATGAGGAATGAAGACAGGATAAATATCACTTAGAGCAACATAAATACTGTTCTGAGCTGACCTCAGAACACATTTTGAGTTTTGTGCTTGGGTTGTATCCTGATGCATATATTGAATTCTTGGCTTATGCTCCCTAGTTTACATATTTTAGATCTTTCAGTTTAAAAAATATATATGTATTTTTTTCACATCATTAGTAGTTACTCTTATTAATAAACTTTTTGCTTTGGAATAATTTTAGACTTACAGAAAAACAGCAGTGATAGTACAGAGAGGTTCCATATACCACCCCTCACTAAATTTCCCCTAATGTTAACATCTTACATGACTGTGACACATTTTTCAAAACTAAGAAATCAACATTGGTGCATTACTATTAACTACAGATTTTATTCAGATTTCACTTGTTTTTCCACTATTGTCCTTTTTCTGTTCCAGGATCCAGTCTAGAATCCTACATTGCATTTACTCTCTGGCTTTTTTTTTTTTTTTTTTAATCAAGTTTTTTAAGAAGGTCATAGACTTATTAAGATTTCATTTGCAAGAGTAACATCTTAAGCATGTGGTACTTTCCTGATAGGTTGGACTGATGAGTTTCTAAAATGTCTTTGCAGAGATTGCCTTACAGCAAGTTTCCATGTTCTTCCGGTCAGAACCAAAGTGGGAGGTGGTAGAACCATTGAAAGACATAGGTGAGAAACTGGCACATGCCTGGTCTGTTCAAACAGATCACAGAACTGGACTCTTTGTCACGCTTTCCTATCTGTATCCCAAGAAAGCTCTTCAATGCAGGTGATTTCTTTTTCTTTTTGCCTTCCTACTGCTTGAAGACGCAATCCGTAACTTGTATGCTTAATGAATCTTGGGTAAAGTGCCACCTGGAGATTCAAGGGGTAGTAATGTGTACTCTCAGAGCCATCTGTCATTCTTCATCTCTCTTTCTCACGACACCTCAACTGAAGTGCCCATTTTCCTGTTCTTGTGAAGAATTTCTTTGTTTGCAGTTGTTTTGGTGTTTTCTGTGGGTTTTTTTGGTTTGGGGTTCTGTTTTGTTTTGTTTTGCTTAAGTACAGTCTTTCCCATGTCAACATTACCAAGTAGTTGTTTCACTGGTGCCTGTATTGCTATGGATAAGATTGCCAACCTTAATTTTTTGAATTACTTAGTTAATGAAACTTCTCTCTATTGATGTAAAAATTATTTGCTATGACTACATCTCTGCTTTTATGGCAGGTTGGAGGATAAGGAAGAAATATTTCTTGATGAAAATTAAAAATCAGCCAAAGGAACGGCTAGTGTTAAGCTGGGTAAGCTGGTTTTTTGCTTCAGTCTCCTTTCATGGACTTGAGATGGGTTTATGAAAGCAGATATTGAAAAAGGATAATTAAGAAATTGTACTGTGCTTCTGAGTGATGTTGTAAAGGCCTCTTCAGTCCCACATCAAAGGAGAGTCATTTTAAGTCACTTTGCTTATTCATTTGGTTATATCCATGTGATTGTATTTGATCAACTAGTAAACATCTGGAAAGAAACAGGAACAGCTTAAAACAGTTCTGGAACCTCTTTAGGATTGGCAATTTTGCAATTTATTTTAAAGAAGAAATACTTAGGCATTGCTTTATGTTATCTCTCACTTCGGGAGTTCTAGTGGTTTGGCTAATGGAATTTGATAAAAAGCATAGTTTTTGGGGTTTTTTTAAATCGTTTTGTTTTTTTAATTTTAGGTAGTTAACATACAGTGCAATATTGGTTTCTGGAGTAGCATTCAGTGATTCATCACTTATACACAACACCCAGTGCTCAGGATAACAAGTGCCCTCCTTAATACCCATCACCCAAGAGTGTCGTTAAGTCCTGGTATTTTTATGTTTGCATTCTACCTCTCCAGAAAAGCCTTGAGGCAGCAAGACTTTGTGTGGCTTTCATCTTTGGTTTACAGTCATATATTTGGACAAATGAAAAAAAGGGAAAGGTTTACAAGGAATTTTTCTTTTGATAACTTAAGACAACACCCTGATATTTTCCCCCATGTTTTCAGGCTGACCTTGGTCCCGACAAGTATCTGTCAGATAAAGATTTTCAGTGTCTAATCAAACTTCTGCCTTCCTGTTTGGTGAGTACAAGCCCTTCTATTCTTTTTCTTTTTTTACTCTTTTATTTTTAAGTAATCTCTACACCCAGCATGAGGCTCAAATGAGCACAACCCTGACATCAAGAGTCACATGCTCTACTGACTGAGCCAGCCAGGTGCCCCAAGCCCTTCTGTTATTCTAGGTGCTGACAACAGATTCAGAGCGTTTTCTTGTAGGTGACCATGGACAGAAGAGCTGGAAATGCTCTGTAGGCTCAACAGAATGGAGAGGTACAGTGGATTTCCGTTTACACTGAAATCGCTCAGGGCTACTCCCATAGTTCAGAGGCCATTTAAATGGTATTCGTGACATCGGCACAACCCATGAAACTTGATAATTTAAATGTTTACGTGTGTTTTAAGCAAATATCCGAGTAGGAAAGCACCTACTTTGTTCTCGGTGAGGATGTTTCTATCAATGGAATTGAAAGATCTGTTTCTAGCCTGAGAAAACAGAACTAATATGGATTTAGATAAGCTGGGTGAGGGAAGGCACAAAGAGCCCTTTTGCTGTCCGAGTCACTATTTTCACAGGCCAACTAGTTGGCCTTTGGGAGTGTCTGGCATTATGTATGCTAATGTACAGTTCTGATCCCAGGCCTTTAGTGGAAAGAACCACATCAGTATATTTCAGAATATGTGCAGAATGTCTTCCGGAAAAGACTAATCTGGCCAGAAAAGTGAGTTAGTATTGATGTTCTTTATCTGTGGTCTGCATGAGGATGTGGGACCCTAGAATGAGTCATTCATGAGCACAATGATGCTGACCTTTCCAATTGGGTTGGCAGGTTCATTTTTGAAGATAGAGTGTCTTGTCAAGCTAGCAAAGCCCAGCTTATAATGAGGTGTGCAGCACAGCTGAGAAAAATGCTGTGGTCTTTGTGTGCGATTAGTTGTGTGACACAGGCTCTCAGCATTCAATTCCAAATTTCTTTTAATGGCTGTGCTTTTTAAAGAAGAAGGGGATGCAGATAAGTGGTGCATATTAATTATGGAAAAGTCAGAAAACATGGGTAAGCAAAAATTAGAACATAAAACTCACCTGTAATCCCAAGCAACCAGGAGTATGAACCAAAATGTTTAGTTGTTGCTTTTCTAGAACTTTATATGGTTATTTTTGAAAAATTATACATGTATTGTTTTAAAGTCTGATTTTTTGGTTAATGGTATGCCACGCACATCTTTTATGTTGAATAAATATAGTATAACATCATTATTACTGGGTGCATATAATTATCTTTACCTCAGTTTATTCAACTAATCTTCTACAAGACATTTGGACCACTTCCAGTTTTTTGTTCTTATTTAAAAAGAAAAAAAGCCACAGTGAACAATTCAGGCTAAATATTTGTACCCATCCTTAATTATTTCATCAAATAAATAACAAGAATTAATAAGGGAGATATTTTGAGACTGTATAAATATCCTGTTCTTATCAAAGCCCCACTTGTTTTAGCTTCACTGAGATTTTCCAACTCCATCATTCCTGTTATGTTTATCAGTTGGCATTGTACTGTAAGGAAGAGCTTCCCATTCTCTCCTCTTTGTCTATTTATAGCAGTATGGACTCAAGGATTTTTATTTTATTCATTGGGTTCCTTTTTGGGGCAATGAAAGTGTTCTAAAATTAGATTGTGTGGTAGTTTGTACAGCTCTGAATAGACTGAAAACCATTGAATTGTACACAACAAATAGGTGAATTATAATGGTATGTGAACTATATTTCAATAAAGCTGTTATAATATCAACAGCAATCATTTTGATGGGATGGTCAGAAGAAACTTCATGATCAAGGACTATATTTTCCTGGGCACACCCTTCCATCCCCCAACCTACTCAACCCCTGCCCTCCCAAACCTTTGCACAGCTCAGCTCCTATGGGTTTAAATTCTAATGGTGCTCGTTTGAGCGAATGGACATTGTAATACCTGTCTGAAGCCAGTTGGTTCATGTAACCAAAATTCCAGGTCATACAAGGACTTTCAGTCATTGATTTTGTCTTACTCTCCACCCCCACTTGCTTGACGTCAATGGCCCCACCTCAGGAAGACACTGTGAATCATCATACTGCACCCTGCAAAAGAAGGATAGGAAGATTCATGCTAGCTGCTTTGGATAAGGGCCAAGATGCCAAAAGATGCTGCTTTTTCGCTTGTTTTCTGGCTTTTACGCTTGCTGGCTTGGCACCACACAGCAGTGTGAAATGTTAGGCAACACTGTGAATGAAGACACATTTATCCTGGTCCTCACTTGGCTGTGATCGGGTTTGGCTGTATTCTCTACCAGTGTACAGAGGCAGAATATTAAAACCATTATCCCCCAGACTTCTGCCTGAGCTAGGAGCATGTGCATCCCCAGGTAGATATGGAGAGCTCACCGTGCCACTTCTCCATGTCCCTTGGTCAGTATAATTTATGTTCCTTCTCTCATCTAAAGAACGATATGCTAGTTGATCATCTGATAAGAAAATGCCACATGTTCAGGGAACATCCCCACATTTATGTGCAACTAAACTGCTGAGATGGAACTTAACTCTACGTAACTAGATTCTTGATCTCAAAGGACCCAGATGCTGATGCAAGTAAATGTGAATTTCTTTTTTGTTTTGGCAGCACCCTTATATCTATCGGGTCACCTTTGCCACAGCTAATGAATCCTCTGCATTGCTTATTAGGATGTTTAATGACAAAGGAACTTTGAAGGACCTGATCTACAAGGTACTTGTGGTGCAAGTTCATGGTCATAAAGAAGTCCTCAAGTCCCTTCAGAACCTGTTACAGATACTTGATCCCTAAAGTTCCAGAAGTTAGGCCCTGAGGGTTTTATTTTAAGTTTTATTTGATTTGGAATTTATTTTGATTTTAGCAGTAAAACTACCCAGTCTGGTTAAAGAGCATTCCTTTCCCTAAATGAAATAAGGTTGAACAGGTAATGATTATGTCCATTACATTGTAGGCTGCTCATTTAGGTCAGTTTTAAAGTTTGTGTCTTTCACTTAACAAAGCAATACTGAACTATCTCAGTAGAGTTGGAAAACAAAACTTGGGGGTCTGCTAAGGCCAAGACCAGGCCCAGCTACACTGGACCAGAGAAGGGATGGAACTCAGGGCAGCCTCTTTCTATCAACTGTACAGACTCTTATACTTTAAAAACCTATATCCTGTGAGCTGCCCTCATCTGGCACCCCCAGCTGCTTAGAGTCCTGCCTGGTCCAGGAGGCTACGTGTGGGATACAGACCCTCTGCTGCTCGCCTTATATGCTCTTTGTGCTTTTCCAAAGGCAAAACCAAAAGACCCATTCCTAAAGAAGTACTGCAACCCTAAGAAGATTCAGGGCCTTGAACTCCAGCAAATAAAAACATACGGGCGGCAAATATTGGAGGTAAGAGGTATTTAAAATTTGCTTAGGTTGCATTGGAATTTCATCCAGATTACAGTATTCTTTTGGGAAAGTTCTTAGGCAATATTCAAAATAATTTAAGTTGTCTGATCGCTTATAAACTGACGGCATTGTCCTATTTTATCCCAAAAAACAAATACTTGAGACTAAGGCAACCAATTCAGATCTACAGAATTCCAAAATCTTAGCTACTGGCATTTAGTGTCTGATTTTTAAGAAGTTCACTGTGTAGATACCAACTTTTGTATTATGTTTGGTTGATCTTTATCTTTGTGCCAATTTTATCAATACATAACCATATGGCTCTCTTGCAGAAGTGTAACTAGCATGAAAAGCCTTTCCTGTATCACTCTCTAGAGCAGTGTTCTCCAGGCTTCTTGGATTGTGTGACCCTATCAGTGAAAACAATTTAAACAAAACTCCCCCCAATATTACACATATATAACTATTATATGCATGCACTACTACTAATATATGTTGTATATTATAAGTGAGGAAAGAAGGAGTTTTTTTTTTTTTTTTTTTTTTTCAAGTAGGCTCCACACCCAGTGCGGAGCCCAACACGGGGCTTGAACTCATGACCCTGAGATCAAGACCTGAGCTAAAATCAAGAGCTGGACACTTAACTGACTGAGCCACCCAGGCACCCCGGAAAGAAGGAGATTAAAAACAAACAAATAGAAAGAGAAGTTGTCATATTTTCTTCCAGTCCTCAGTAGATTGTCCTGGGCACCCCCTTTGGCTAGCACTGCTCTAGTTCATAAGGTCATTATGGGTGTATCTCCAGGCATCTCTTTTGCTGGGTGAGCCACTGTTTATGAAATGGCAGCTGAAAAGTTTGCTTCTTTCTGTGGGAGCCTGTCCTGTGTTCCTATTAATAAATAGCATAATATATTCTGAGAAGAGATTGGTCTAGGGATGTTTTTAGCTCAACCCCTTTTTCTGGACAACTGGCCGATGCCCTGACATGATAGCTTTACTCATCTGTGCGGGAGGGTCAAGACTTTGGCCCAAAAACTGCTGGCCTGTTGAGATCAGAAAGTGCTTGAAATCAAGCCTTTTGGTATCAAAGCTGTTAAGCCCAAGCGGATTCAGGCTGCTCCTTTGTTCTTTGGAAATGAGGGAGGTTGGCCTTGCATCTCACAGCTGGAAAGCATTCAGCATCACCCCCTTTTCCAAAGAAATGGATGGAGGTGGCATTTGTCTTTAGGAATCTCCTCAGTGACCTGTTCGGTTTTGTTTCAAAATACATTGACTTAAAAACAAAGTTTAGCCTATCTCATAGCTGAATGAGTTGGAGGGAAAATGTAACCTATACGTATTTTCTAATAGGTACTAAAGTTTCTACATGACAAGGGATTCCCTTATGGGCATCTTCATGCCTCCAATGTGATGCTAGATGGTGACACTTGCCGGCTGCTAGACCTTGAGAATTCTTTATTGGGCCTTCCTTCCTTCTACCGATCCTATTTCTCACAATTCAGGAAAATCAATGTAAGTTGCTAGAAGTAATGAAAATAGCAATTTCATTTTTAGGTATAAATGTTCTCCATGGCAGGACCCATGACCTGCCCATGTAAGAAATATGCAGGGTATGTGTAAGGTACAGGCAGGGTAGGCCATGCCTTTTGGCTGTGTTCTCTCACAGAGCACCACTCTATCTTTAAGAGCTTTGTTGAAATGGTAGATGGGACAACGAGGGATATAGAATCACTGACTGGAAAACAATGGAGAGTAGAACCAAGACCTTGGGTCAGAGCAGTGCCTTTGGAGCTTTTGCACAAGGCCTTGGAGTTGTGTTTTCACTACCAATTATGAGTGGGGTTGCCCCTGGGCCATGTTTTTCTCAGTGTAAGCCTAGGGAAGGAGCATTGGGATTCACAAAGCCAAACTGAAGGATAACCGTGCTGCTGCTCTCTTGTCTTCCACAGACATTGGAAAGCGTGGACGTCCACTGCTTTGGCCACTTACTGTATGAAATGACTTATGGACGACCGCCAGACTCAGTGCCTGTAGATTCCTTCCCTCCAGCACCGTCTATGGCTGTGGGTCAGTATGGGGTTTGGAGGAGTCTTCTGGGCCCTGGTAGTCTGCAGAGCTACTTTACCCCCTTTCCAAAGTCCAGGAAGGACCCAGAGGAAGTTCCCATGCTCTATAGCCAGCCAAATCCCATTTAAAAGTAAACCAGGTCTGAGTGATTTATTTAAATTCATTTCACTAAAAATTCAGATGGCTTGTCCAATTGTCAGGCTATCTGAAACCTCAGGAGACATATTGTAACTGCGTTCGAATTTTGGAAGCAGGAGGTTGTAAAGAGAAGTCTGGCCAGACTGAGTCTGATATAGAAGCAGAAGCTAGGAACAGGCAAATTGAAGCCAGCCTTTCAACACAGGCAGGTGTCAAGGGCCAGACCAAGGCTGGAGTGGGACCTGCAAGGAACAAGAGAGCCATGGGCCGGACATCTGGTAGATAAAAGTTTGGCAGGCCGAGAACGGGGAAAGGTAGGCAGGAATACAGACACCTGGCAAATTGGATCCAGGCGTTCTTCCAGCCTTACTTAGGGGGCTGAGGAGGGGCAGAGGACAGGCTGGAGACACCTTTGGGAGAGAGACATAGGGACTGATGCAGACTCATCCAGGGACCCTTTCATCCTGTCCACAGCCCGCTTAGAACTCACTGTTAGAGCACTAAGAGGGGAGGGGAGGGTAGCTCTTGGACCACCGAGCCTTCGAGGTGTGCAAGCTAACCCTCCACCAAGTGCTGGTTTTGTGTCAAATGAGGTGGTTCAAGAGTACAGGCCCTGAGACTACTTTGTGTTGAGTTCGAACAGCTGAAACTGAACAGTGACCTGTGAGTAGAAAAATCTGGCTGCTTTTGTTTATATCATCCAAGGTGTTGGATGATGAGATATCAACAATTGGCATCTTGTGTGCTGGTTTTGATTAAAAAGCAAACAAGCAGCAAAATGTCTTTCGAGTTCAGAATTTTCTGTGTAGTGTTTACTTCTCTTCTAAGAGAGCAAACACTTTTATGAATGATATCTGGAATCCTTCCTCCAATTATCTTTGAAATATATTTAGCTTTCTGTCAGCATGTGGTTTCTGCACCATTTATTCTGAGTCATTGGTAACATGGTATTGCCAACATTCCCCTTCCCGATGTATGCCATCTGTCTGTGCGTGAAGAGTTTTGACACCGTCCTGCTCAGTCTGCAGACAGTTGTTGCAAAGTGGTGTCAAACTTTTCGTCACCAAGTGGATTTGCCAGCATGTTCTGTGGAACTAAAATGTGTATCTGTTCATTTCAAGTGGCCGTGTTGGAGTCTACGCTGTCTTGTGAAGCCTGTAAAAATGGCATGCCTACCGTCTCCCGGCTCTTACAGATGCCGTAAGTCAATCACACGCCTTGGTTGTCACCTTCCTAACTGTGTAGAATGCTGGACCGCTAAGCCAGGTGCCTGGTGCCATGGTCAAGACTCAGGTGTGGTCCTTGCAGAGTTGAAGTGACGTGCTTGCTGTCGGTCACGCGCAGCATGATATCATGACCTCTCCTCATGACCTCTCCACTACTGTGGTCTGATTGCTCTCCCTTCATGTCCGCATCTTCACACGTGTCTCTTGCTGTCGATGTTAGTTAGCGTCCTGTGTGTGTACACGTGCCCCCTGCCGCTGCTTAGGACATTCTGACGGAGGGCCTGCTTGTGCGCTGTCCATGGTCCTGTTTCCACGCACCAGCTGGCCCTCTCCGTGGCTGGTTCTGCCCTCTCAGAGGAGAGCAGTGTGTTTCTGACCCCCACCCCCCCCACCCCATGCACTCATTTGTTCCTTTGCTCTCTGGGTAACATCGATTACACATCTAACAGGTACCAGGCATTGTGCAAGGGGCTTGGAGAGCAGAAGACATTCTCCCTTAAACCGGGTTATGACTAGTTCATCAGGACCATGGAAATAGTGCTGCAGGGCCTTGCCTCCAGCTATGTTCTCTGTCCCTTCTTGGAGAGGGCAGCAGCGTGGTTAAGAAGGGTGTGTCTGAGGTTAGACAGCCCGGAGGTGGACCCAGCCTCACCACTTCGACCTGAGTGACCTTGGGCAGGTTTCCTGCATCTGAAAGCGGAGGCTCCTTATCTGGGAAATGGGGATAGGAATAGGCCCCACCAGAGAGGGTTGTGGGCAGGATTGAATGAGACAATTCCTAGTGAAGCACCAGTTACTTAACAAGTGCCTATTGAGTGTTACTTGTGACGAGTATTGATTCAGCGTGTATTTTGTGAGCATCACGTGCCGTGCGGTGTGGTGCACCCAGTGCGTTGTCTCTACCAGCTTGTTGTATAACAGATGTACTCAGGAAATAGTGATGTGGGGAAACAGGGCAGGGCTTAGCTTGAATGCATATGGCCAGAGCTCAGAGGAGGTCCATGTGTTTAGAGAGGGTCTGCTGTAGCCCAGGCGCTGTCCTAGGCCCTGTGGAAGCCGTGCCGAGCTGCCCCAGCCCCCGCCCCAGCCCCTGCCTGTGGATGTGACATATTTAAAGTTCGACTGACACTGGCATGTCCCTCTCCCAAGCAGCCACCATTAACAGCAATGTGAATATGGAAGAATAGACCCAATTAGGGAAATGAAATAATTTTCATACAAACTGTTAAAAGAACATGCATTTGTAGTTAGGGAACAGCCTGGATTCCTGTTGATTTACTTGGGTTTGCATTTGCAGCCCCCACGTTCCAGAGCTCTTCCATTCTCCTCCCAGCCTTCCAAGTCTAAAGGGAATCCACATTGTTTTTTCCTCACTGAAGTCTTTCTACCCTGTGGCCTTCACCCTTGAGAATACTTGAAGAGGCGTGAACTATGTTCAATTAAAACTCGTTTTCTGGAAGTAAATAGGCCTGTGCCCTTGACGGAGAGTTCTGTCTCCACCTCCAGAGCTGCCCAGGGAACACTGTGGGGAAAAGTTAACTGTTTCGTTTCTACTTGTGAAGTATTTCCTGTTTTTTAAAAAGGGGAACTCCTCAAGGCAAGACTCCCACATAGCCATGTGGGCACTGCCCAAGCAACCATTTAAATTCTCCATACTGTCTTAGCCAAAGTAGTTCAGAATTCCTCATGCTGTTGTTTTTAGTCACATAATATTTGAAGAGAGAATTGACATGCTCTAAAAGCTGCCTTTTTTTTTAAGGGAGTACAAGAAACACTTCTTAGAAGAAAATATTTTCTTGTTAGATTCCAATCAGAACAGTTTCTACTTACACATTTTTATTTTACTGAGCTCTAGAATAAATTTTTTAAAGATTTGTTTATTTTAGAGAGAGAGTGAGAGCAGGGGGAGGGGCAGAGGGCGAAGGAGAGAGAAAGAATCTTAAGCAGGCTCCGCGCTGAGCACGGAGCCCAATACAAGGCTTAATCTCACCACCCTGAGATCATGACCTGAGCTGAAACCAAGAGTCAGACACTTAACTGACTGTGCCACCCGTAGAATAAATTTTATCCTTTTCTGGGATTTAATAAAAAAGGGGGGAATTGGGTAGGGTATGTGCTATGGTGAGCGCTGTGAATTGTGCAAGACTGTTGAATCACAGATCTGTACTTCTGAAACAAATAATGCAACATATGTTAAGAAAAAAGAAAAAGAAGAAAATAGCAGGAGGGGAAGAATGAAGGGGAGTAAGTCAGAGGGGAAGATGAACCATGAGAGATGATGGACTCTGAAAAACAAACTGAGGGTTCTACAGGGGAGGAGGGTAGGGGGATGGGTTAGCCTGGTGATGGGTATTAAAGAGGGCAAGTTCTACATGGAGCACTGGGTTTTATGCACAAACAATGAATCATGGAACACTACATCAAAAACTAATGATGTAATATATGATGATTAACATAACAATAAAAAATTTAAAAAAGGGGAAATTGGTTATTCTGTTTATAAATACCTACTGCATAAATTATTTGCAGTATAATAAATATAACAATATAATAAAATAATGGTTTGCAAAACTAATTTTTTAAAGTGTGTATTACATTACTATATAGCATGAGAGGACTGTTGCCCTGCAGTGTGGGGAAATAACCTTCAGTACAGGGCTGACCCAGCCTTTCCCTGGTAGCACCTCTGATACTGGGGGGCAGGGGTATGTGCTGAGGTTTTTCTGCAGTCACATCGGGTGGCCTCTAAACTTGGAGTTTGTTGATAAGCATGAAATGGTGGACTGGGCCAGGGCTGGGGCATGTGGGAACCTCATGGGCTAAAGATGTCTCATTCTGTTTTGATCCTGTTCTGAGAGGACAGCTGGCTTAAGATTTTGTTTCTTTTCTTAACAGATTATTCAGTGATGTTTTACTAACCACTTCTGAAAAGCCACAGTTTAAGGTAAAGCAAATCATATCTTCTTTTGGTTTGTGACATATATAAGTTGATTTTGAAACTTAGTGCTTTTAAAAAAATGACTGAAGTAGAACTGACATACAACATTATATTAGTTTCAGGTGTAAAACAACATTATAACTACAATATGGTAATCACCACAGTAAGTCTAGTTCACGTCTATCACTATGTATGTTATAATTCTTTTCTTCTTGTGGTGAGAACTTTTAAGATTTACTTTCTTAGCAACTTTCAAGTATATAATACAGTATATTAATAATAGTCACCATGCTGTACATTATATCCCTGTGACTTATTATTTTGGAACTGGAAGTTTGTACCTTTTGCCCCCTTCACCCGTTTCATCTGTCCCCCCACCCCGACCCTTGCAACCACCATTCTGTTTTCTGTGAGCGATCTTTTCTCTATGAGTTCAGGTTTTGTTTTGTTTTTAGATCCCACATGTAAATGAGATCATATGGTATTTGTCTTTCTCTGTCTGACTTATTTCACTTAGCATAATGACCCTAAGCTCCATTCATGTTGTTGCAAATGGAAGGATTTCTTTTTTTTTAAGTGGCTGAGTAACATTCCATCGTATATACCCACATTTTCTTTATCCATTCATCCGTTGATAGACACTTAGGTTGTTTCCGTGTCTTGGTGTAAATAATGCTGCAATGAACATGGGAGTGCATATCTTTTTGATTTAGTGTTTTCATTTCCTTTAGATACATACCCAGAAGTGGAATTGCTGGCTTGTATGGTATTTTTAATTTTTTGAGGAACCTCCATACTGTTTTCCCAATTTACATTCCATTAATCTTGTAAAGGTTTTTTTCTCCACATCCTCACCAACAGTTGTTATGTTGTCATTTTGATACTAGCCATTGTAGCAGATGTTAGGCGATATCTCTTGTGGTTTTGATTTGCATTTCCGTGATTAGTGATGTTGAGCACCTTCTCATTACTTGTTGGCCATCTGTGTGTCAAGTTAGTGCTTTTTTTAATCAAACAGAAGGTACAGTAATTTTTTTATTGACGTATAGTTAACATACGATATCCTCTTAGTTTACGTACATCAAAGTGATTTGATATTTTTTATACATTATGAAATGATCCCCACAATAAGTCTAGTTAACATCTATCATCACACAAAGTCATTAAAATATTGACTGTATTCTCTATGCTGCAATGAACATGGCTTATGTATTTTATAACTGGAAGTTTAGGTACAGTATTTATGATAGCGAAAATTTGAAAACAATCTAAATGTTCTACAATTAGGGACTAGCTTAACAATTTATGGTACATCTGTTTGATAAAATGTTTTTTATCTAATAAAAGTAAAATTTATAAAGACATTGTAGTAGCATGGAAAGTGATTATTTGGGCTAAGGGGAAGAAGAAGCAGGATATAAAATACAGTGTATAAAAATGTATTCACCTGTGTCTAGCAGAAAGGCAGGAAGGAAGCATCCTGGTAAGTAGCAGCTTTGTGTGGTATCGTGGGAAGTACAGGAGCTTTGGAACCCAGAAAACCCAGGATGATGCCTTACTTTGCTTTTTTAATACCAGCCATTTATCTATGGATGCTTTTCTCAGACACAACATTTTTTTTTTAAAGATTTTATTTATTTATTTGTCAGAGCGAGAGAGAGAAAGAGAGAGAGAGCATGAGCAGGGGGAGTGGCAGGGAGAGGGAGAAGCAGACTCCCCACTGAGCAGGGAGCCCGACGCAGGGCTTGATCCCAGGACCCTGGGATCATGACCTGAGCTGAAGGCAGCCACTTAACTGAGCCACCCAGGCGCCCCATCAGACATGACATTTGACATTTTGGATCAGATGGTTGTTTGTTGTGGGGACTGTCCTGTGCGTTGTTGGAGGTTAAGTGACATCCCTGGCCTGTCCCCACTAGATGTGAGCAGTGCTTCCCTTCTGCCCCACACATTGTGACGATAAAAAATGTCTCCCCGGGAGGGATGGGGTGGCTGGGTGATAGACATTGGGTAGAGTATGTGCTATGGTGAGCGCTGTGAATTGTGCAAGACTGTTGAATCACAGATCTGTACTTCTGAAACAAATAATGCAATATATGTTAAGAAAAAAGAAAAAGAAGAAGATAGCAGGAGGGGAAGAATGAAGGGGAGTAAGTCAGAGGGGGAGACGAACCATGAGAGACAATGGACTCTGAAAAACAAACTGAGTGTTCTAGAGGGGAGGGGGGTGGGGGGGATGGGTTAGCCTGGTGATGGGTATTAAAGAGGGCACGTACTGAATGGAGCACTGGGTGTTATGCACAAACAATGAATCATGGAACACTACATCAAAAACTAATGATGTAATGGATGGTGATTAACATAACAATAAAAAAATAAAAAGTCTCCCCAAATTGCCAAATGTCCCCTAGAGAGAGAAGGGGGCAAGACCACCCCTATCTGAGATCCACTCATCTGTGGGCCTGATCTTTGAGTTGATGTTTATTCAGCATGTACAATTGGTGAGTAATGCCTGTTTATTGTCCTCGGTCAACTGAGATGGTTCATATGAGCACCTGGCCGGGGCGGGGTGGCTCTCCTCAGGGCTCGCAGTTAGTTTTGGTCTGGGCAGTAGAATAAAGGGTGATTCTTCCTCCTTTCCATATTCCAAAAAAACATGTAATACTATTATGATGAAATTCCGTTTAGGAAAAACAAAAACAAGGTGGGGTCAGAAGATTGTACAGGAGAGGAAGACATTTTCCTCTGTCCTGTTTTGCCAGTCAGAGGAGTTCTGACAAAAATAGCTTGTTTGGATCTGAGGTAGGAAAGAAAAACATTTAAATCCATCTCTTCTTCATTGAAAGTCCCCAGGAAATATATTCAGTCTTGTAAATAAATATGCTCTTCCCAACCCTGAAAGTCCAGCCCAGGAATTATTATTAGACCTTGTTCTTTCTCTGAATCAGAGAGTCTGTGCAACAATGACAACATGATTTTAAAAACCAAGGTTAATTTCTTGTGTATGTACTTTCTTTCTGGAAAGATAGACAAGAAACTGGTGACATTTGTTGCCTCCATGGAAGAGAACTAGTTGGCAGACTTTTTACTGTGTCTCTACCCTTTCATATCTTTGAATTTTGAACCATATTACCTACTCAAAGGTTTTTAAATTTAAATTTTTAAAAGAATAATAGAGACAGTTCAACATGATCCAGGCGTCTGTTTCCCAGGCCTGAGCTCCTTGTGGCTTGAGCAACTAATAAATTAAGAAATGACAGGCACAGCATACCAGGTACCAGGCTGTTGTTAAGTGGACCTTCCGGCAGGCTCAGTTGGTAGCTCAGGTCATGATCTCAGGTTGTGGGATTGAGCCCTCCTTCCGTTGGGCTCTGTGCTGGAGACTGCTTAAGATTCTCTCTCTCCCTCTGCTCCACAACCCCCCCCCCCCTGCTGCCACACTCTCTCTCTCAAAAAAAAAGAGTGTCTTCTGGCAGGAAAAAGCTTAAGCTTGTGAAATTCAGAAAGTTAATTTTTCACAGAGAAAATTCTTCTGAAGTTATAAAATATTACAGTTACTTGAATTTGTGTGTTCCAATATATTTTTATTTTAATTATAAAAAACATAAATTATCCTTTTAACCATTTTTAAGTGTACACTTCAGTAATGTTAACTGTGTTCACATTTGTTGTGTAACATATCCCTAGAACTTTTTTTTTTAAGAATTTATTTATTTATTTGACAGAGAGAGACACAGCGAGAGGGAACACAAGCAGGGGGAGTGGGAGAGGGAGAAGCAGGCTTCCCGCGGAGCAGGGAGCCCGATGCGGGGCTCGATCCCAGGACCCTGGGATCATGACCTGAGCCGAAGGCAGACACTTAACAACTGAGCCACCCAGGTGCCGCCCCCAGAACATTTTTATCTTGGTAACTGAAACTAGAGGCCCATCGAACAACTCCCCGTTAACCCATTCCCAGCCCTTGGCAAATACAGTTCTACTTTCTGCTTCTATGACTTTGACTAGTTCAGGTGTCTCATACAAATGTAAGCATACAGTATTTGTTCTTTCGTGACTGGCTTATTTCACGCAGCGTAGTATCCTCTGTGTTCATTGGTGTTACAGCATGTGACAGGATTTCTTTTTTTTTTTCTAAGATTTTATTTATTTATTTGAGAAAGAGAGAGAGCACGAGTGAGGGGAAAGGAACAGAGAGAGAGGGAGAAGCAGGCTCCCTGCTGAGCAAGGAGCCCAATACAGGACTCGATCCCAGGACCTCTGGATCATGACCTGAGCCGAAGGCAGATGCCTAACGACTGAGCCACCCAGGCGCCCCAGGATTTCTTTCTTTTTTTTTTTGAAGGCTGAATACTATTCTACTGTATGCATATACCACATTTTGTTTATCTTTTCCTCTGTGGATGGACATTTGAGCTGTTTTCACCTCTTGGCTATTGTGAATAATGCTGCAGTGGGTGCACGTATCTTTTCAGGACCCTGCTTTCAGTTCTTCTGGATGTGTACCCAGAAGTGGGATTGCTGGATCATGTGGTATTTCTGTTTTTAGCCTTTTGAGGAACTCCGTGCTGTCTTCCACCACAGCTGCACCATTTCATGTTCCCACCGTCAGTGCACGAGGGCTCCAATTTCTCCACGTCCTCACCAACACTTGTTATTTTCTGCTTTTTCAGTAGTGACGATCCTAATGTGTGTGAGGTGCTATCTCAGCATGGTTTGATTTACATTTCTCTAATGATGAGAGATGATGATTAATCTTTTCATACACTTGTTGCCCATTTGTAAATCTTCTTTGGAGAAATGTCTCTTCAGGACCTTTGCCCATTTTTTTTCCCTCTTAGATTTTCTGATCTTTTTTTTTTTTTTTTTTTCCAGCTTTATTCTGGTATAATCTATTTTTTGTGACACATCCGTTTTTCCATCAGGTTGCTTATTTTTTTTTGTTGGGTTATAAGAGTTCTTTATATATTTTGGCTATTAATCCCTTATTAAATATATGATTTCCAGTTATTTTCTCCCATTCCATAGGTTCCTTTTTACTCTCTTGTTTCCTTTGATACACAGAAGTTTCTCAAAAGTTCCATCTGTCTCTTGTTGCTTTCCTTGCCTGTGCTCTTGGCGTCTTACCAAAATCATTGTCAGATCCAATATCTTAAAGCTTTTGTTTTGTTCTAGGAGTTTTATAGTTTTGGGTCTTCAGTCCAATTTTGAGTTAATTTTTGCATAGAGTATAAGGTGAGGGTCCAGCTTCATTTTCTCACATGTAGATACTCAATTTTCCCAGCACCATTTATCGAAGACACTGTCCTTTCTCTATACTTTTTGGCACCCTATTCAAATGTCGTTTCACCATATACGTGAGGTTTATTTCTAGGCTCTCTATGCTGTCCGGTTGTTCTGTGTGTCTGTCTGTATGCCAATATGACATTATTTTGATTACTGTAGTTTTGTAATATATTTTGAAATCAGGAAGTGTGATGCTTCCAATTTTGATCTTCTTTTTCAAGATTGTTTTGGCATTTTGGGGCCCCTTGAGTATTACTTGAATTACATGAAACATACCATGTTTATTTATGTGTTTTATATATTCATTACTAAAAAATGGTAATGAGGTGAGCATGTTGGGGATGGATAGTATTCAAGTGGTTATCTTGTAACTGATTCTATTGCAGATTCCCTCCTTCATGATAACCAACTGCTCCTTTATTAAAACCAGGACTTAAGAGAATCTCTGGCCATTTTACTCAATGGGTTATGTACTTTCTCTTCTTTCAGATCCCCACAAAGTTAAAAGAGGCATTGAGAATTGCCAAAGAATGTATAGAAAAAAGACTAATTGAAGAACAGAAACAGGTAAATTGCTAGTAGCTCCTTATTGCCTTTTTTTTTTTTAAGATTTTATTTATTTATTTGACAGAGGGAGAGAGCACAAGCAGGGGGAACAGTAGAGGGAGAGGGAGTGGGAGAGGGAGAAGCAGGCTCCCCACCAAGCAGGGAGCCCAAGGCAGGGCTCGATCCCAGGACCCTGGGATCATGACCTAAGCCAAAGGCAGACGCTTAACCATCTGAGCCACCCAGGCGCCCCCTCCTTATTGCCTTTTGATCTTTTAGCATTTGGATCCTTTGTCGTGGTATTCACAGTGACTTACTTTTGGCTGGTTGTTATTCCATAAACATTTCTTGCTTCCTTGCTCTGAACCGGCCTCCATGCTCAGTGTTGTGAGATAGCCTGTTACTTCACAGTCCTGCCCTCAAGGTGCTCAGCCTGTGGGAAAACAAGCACATCCATAACGCGTGGTCTTCCTTTATGATTGGGGCAGGTGGGGTAGTAGTGGCGGGCACATGTGGTCCTTGCTCTGAAGGTGCTGGGAGCCACACATGTCTTCCATAGAAGAGAGAAGGGCAGGAAGGAACAGGGGGAAACGAGAAAGGTCTTCATCTTCTGGCAGACTCTTCTCCCAGACATCCAGACCCAAGCTTGGAGGCAGACAGGCTGAGCAAGGACAGAATTTTCATCCAGAATAATTTGATTTGGCAAAACATGTTAGAGATTTTCATTAACATAAGATACACTTAATTTGTGGTGAATTGTGGTCTCTCAAAGATTTACCAGCATCGAAGACTGACAAGAGCTCAGTCTCACCATGGATCTGAAGAAGAAAGGAAAAAGAGAAAGATTTTAGCTCGAAAGGTAAGCCTGGTGTCTCTGAATTCTCTGTGAATTTTTTTTTTTTTAAGATTTTATTCATTTATGAGAGAGAGACAAAGCATGAGTAGGGGGAGAGGAAGAAGCAGGCTCCCCACTGAGCGGGGAGCCGGACGCCAGGCTCCATCCCAGGACCCTGAGATCATGACCTGAGCCAAAGGCAGACGCTTAACAACTGAGCCACCCAGGCGCCCCCTCTCTGTGGATTCTTGGCTACATGTGAAGAAAGCTGTAGGTTAATAGTGCACATTTAGTTAACGGCAAGATTTTGTGCTATATCTCCTTGAAAGCTAAAACTATTTCCAGATGACTGTTTTGCAGCTTTTAAAAAAGTCACATAATATCAGCAGAGAAATGGACCATATAGTTTCCTGGCTTGCTGGGATGATTACAGCCCAATGTAATTGGGGAGAATGACTGGCCTGAGATAGTAAACTCAGCATTCTTGGTTTTATTTGCCTTTCTGGTTGTGGCTTGTGGCTTCTTAACTGTATTAAGTTATGGGGCCAAATATGACCTTGTATGTAGCTAGTTTAACTGTGTGCCTGGAAAATACTTGTATTCTAACTCTCAGCTTCAGTGTGTTTATTCTTTGCTGTTCCCCATCTCTCTTTTATTTTTAAAGAAGTCAAAACGATCTGCTGTTGAAAATAGTGAAGAGCATTCAGCAAAATACAGCAACTCCAATAATTCAGGTAACTGGTTATAGATTGTAGTGGGGCCTCTGGGCCCAAAGGTCAGGACTAGGAGTCAAGAGTTTTTGGCTTCTGGTGGCCAGAGACTGAGCAGTATAGGGAACAAAAGGACCCTGCCGCTAGTAAAGAATTGTGACAGCATTCACGGGCTCACAGGACTCAAGTGCTAGAAGAATCCTCAGAGGTTATGGGGTAACCCAGCCTCTGCACTGATTGCGAGACTTGGTCAGCCAAAGATGAGCATTAGGCATGGATGGAAAACCAACCCAACTTAAAACATGAGGCCTCCTGTTTGTTAGTAAAACCTGTTCGAACAGAAACGACCCTGAATCCTGCCCTCTACTCCAGTCCCCACGTGGTGGGAGCAAGTGCCCTCATACACGGGTTAAGGAAAGCACTCAAAGGTGTGTGTGTGTGGGGGGGCATGGGGGTGCAGAGAGCATCATTCCAGAAGGGCTGGGCTGGCACAGAGCACCATCCTGAGTTGGCAGTCCTCGCTGTCACTCCTGGTTGCCCCTTGCCCAGCCCCGCTGGCTTTGGACCTTAATATCTCCATCTTTAGAAATCAGGGCCAGATTGAATGATCCTTTGGGGACTTCCAGTTCTTCCACCTTATGCACCTCATGAATCTTTTTTTTTTTCTTGCACCTTCTGAATCTGTGAGGTAGAGTTCCACATAGAGAAGGGGCAGCTTCACCCGACTGCGGGCAGCTTCGACTGAGCCCGGAGGGCCAAGGAAAGGGGAGGTTTTGTTGGGTTGAGGGATAGCTGCGTGTACTTTCAGGCAGCAGAAGGGCTGAGCAGAGAGGGAGAAGCTGAAGATGTGCAAGAGAGAGTGACTGGGACGCCAGAAGACCAAGAGGTTAGTTGCAGGAGCCCAGCTGAGTCTCTTCGTGGAGGAAGCCCATTCATCTCTTCCCGGAGCCAGGAGCCAGGAGAGCTCGGGGAAGAGGCAGAGGCATTTAAGAGTGGAAGGAAGGGAGGCCCCGGAGGGTGTTCATGGCTCACGCCTTCTCAGGGCTTCTCCGCGCAGTGAGGAGATGCCCGCCAGGGCTCACAGGACATGTGACCTGGACCAGCCACGGCCAGAGATTGTGGGCGGGGTGGGTGGGGCTGGAAGGCAGAAGAGGGGCTGTGGGGGAAGGTTGTGGACTCTAGGAAGAGCGGGGAGTGTGCTGACACCACTGCCTGCAGACTTCAGCCACAGAAGGGAAGAGAGGCGGGGAGGCCCCAGGCCCTGGAGGCCCCAGTGAGGACCCAGGCCGGCTTCTCAGGCACAGAGGCTGCTGTGGCCAGCAGGTGATTCGAGCTGGAGGTCTCTCTTCTCCACGGTTGATGCAGTGGAAGTGGGCCAGTCATCATCATCATCGTTAGGCTGAGACTCGTGTCTCCAGCCAGCATGTCTGACAGGTGCTCTGTCCCGCAGCTGATTCTCTATGAAGCAGAAAGCCTGGCTCAGTGTTCTCCACCCTCCCGAGGCCCTGCCTGCTTGCAAGGCTCGGGGCCCCAAGCAGCCAGACGAGACTCCATGGACTCCCAAGACCCCACCACGCCCTCAAGAAGTTCAGGAAAGCCACGTAGCCATTGGGGGAAATGGACAGAACGTCTCCAGACCCCATTGGAGTCACGAGTACAATCTTCTCCCCTTTAAAAACCCACGTTAGCACTGCGAAGCACTGGGAAGACAGGATGCGTTCGGTTTTCCCTCCTTTTTCAGTAAAACGCCTCTCCTATTTTATAGGAGGGGAGAGAATGTTGCGAATAGTGAAAAGCTCCTCCGTTTGCGGGAGGTGTGGTTTCATTGGGGCGTTTCTCCTCACGCCCAGTGTCCATGCTGTGCCCAGGCTGCCCTGCGGGTGGTAGGTGAGGTGATGGTTGGAGGCTTCTCAGGGGCATGATTGTGGCTCTCCCTGGAGCTTCTGTCACCGCCTCCATAGGACCTCTGTGGCAGGGAGGGGGCTTCCTGTTGCCACAGAAGGGCTTATGTAGGAGCCTCTGTCTGCTCATCGGACCGCCTTCCTGTCGGGCCGGGAGGATGTCCTCTGGAACTCCTGAGCAAAGGGGAGATGCTGAGAACTTGAGACTCTGGGAGTATGCACGTTGTTTTGATGGAAATAAAAGTACTTACTGGATTTCTTCTAAGAGGTCCGGGAGAGCCACAAACCAAACAGGCTGACCCTGTCTAATTGAACGTAGCTGCTGATAAAATGGGACTTCTGCAGAGAGCACTATTAGTTGGACGTTGTGGGGAACTCTCGCTTCCTTTGGAGAGGACTGCACTGGACAGCTCTTGTCCCTCTCTGTCCCCTGTACTGCTTGTGGCCACTGTCATTTGTCATTCATTATGCAGGGACAGAGGCTGGGTCAGGAAGAGATACCGTAGCCAACTGCACAAGCGTTGACAGCTCAGGGTTGGTTTCAAACCAGGCAGGGGGTGGGGAGCGGCAGGCGGCCCGGAGCCCTTAGTGGCCTGGGGACAAAGCGTACCCTGCACTCTGGGGGAAGCCTGTGGTCACAGGGTCCAGGCTCTGCATTCTCTGTCCCTCCCCACCTTTTATCACAAGGCCCACCCACTCAGCCAAGTGCAGATTCTCAGACAACGGCAGGTCCTCTGCTCAGGCCAGATTCCAAATGTCCGTCTTTGGTCCCCAGGAGGGTTTCTCTATGTTTTCTCTTAGCAGGATCTGGGGCCAGCTCACCTCTCACATCCCCGTCGTCACCAACTCCACCCTCTACGGCAGGTGAGTCATGGAGGCAGGCTCTAGATGTCCCAAGTCAGACTTCATGGGGAGCAGTAGTTGGTTTCAGAGGCAGCGCCACCCTCTACCTCCAGCCTGCTCTCTTGCTGAGAAGCCTCAGGCAGGGCTCCTCCGATCAGATCCTGCCTTGGTACCTGCTGAGCTGAACAAGACAGTTGCTCTGCTGCCCAGGCGCCTTGTCCTGCCAGAGCTCTCTCCTCGGGGAGCCCAGCCACAGTGTCTGTTCGGTCAGCGAGCAACACTGGTATGGGAGCGACGGAACCACCGATCTTCTGCTTTCCTCCTAGCAGTCCGCGCTCTCTTCTGCTCTGTGACCCCTGTACTCGTCAGAAGAGTTCTCTGTGGCTAGCCTTTGTTTTGCCTTTGCGAATTATCTCAGATTACTTACTATGAGTTTTGTTTGAAAAAACGTAGAAGGAATTGATCTTGGGGAATATTTATGAGAACAACCTCTAACTGTGGGATGGCCTCATCATGCTCGTTCCCTCTCCTTCTTGTACTAGTATCTCTTTTGTGACCATTTTGCAAGCCTCGTAAAATTACATTGGGGAACCAGTATTTCTTTTCACGTCTTAAGGGAACCAGATGTTCTAGACGTCAGAGGAGCTGGTTCTGCCATTCAGAGCTTGTCAGCTGTGCTTGGAAGAGTTGCTTCAATGACCCTCTGAAGGGAGGGTCATTGCCTGGGGTTGATTTAGGAGTTGACAATTCCATATTCATCAAGGCTTAAGGCAGCACCCAGGAGCTACCAAGAACCTTAACCCACCTGCTCTCAAATCTTCTAACTGACCTTCCTGACAAAATGACAAGCAAGTGTAAAGGGAATAGTTTGCACAGCTTACTTCTGCCTGGTGGTGTCTCCTCTTACTGATGGCATGCTGCCGAGTGTTCTGGGCCAGGACCCGTTTTGAGAAACAAAGTACCTGGTTCATGGGAATGGTATTCTTTTCCCTGCCTGACTTTGTGAGCAGCTTTTACAAGAAAGCCCTCAAATATTGTTCAAGAGAGAATATAGTCTTCTCTCTCTTGTGTAGGGGTGACTTGTTTATAGGCTGGTCAGAAATTTCTGGAACTCCACTGCCCAGATCATGTTTCAGCCATTTTCTGGAAGAAAGGATATTAATTTCACACCACTTAGACATTTGAAGGAAATTGAGAGAATGACTAGTGAGAATCCATAAACCCTTCTTTAATACATGAGGTGTGTCTTTAGTCATACAGAGCACCTACTGTGTGCATTAGATGTGGTCCTGGGAAGTTAACTGCCAGTCCTCATTTTTAAATGCCTTGGGGAATTCCCAATCTATTTGGAGTTTTTCGTGAATCCTCTGATTTTACCTGTGTTTTGAATGGGAGCTATGTCTACTATAGCAGGTTTGCATGAGATGAGAAAATTTTTAGAATGAGAGAAGAAAAAGGGAATATTTTGTTAATTAGAGGCAATGTTGGAAAAACGTTGAGGTGGGTGGGAGCAGTAGGGGGCTTTACTGTGAATTTGGTCGTACCTATTCTGAAAGGGAGTTGAGAGGGAAAACATGTGAAGCCCCAAGCACAAAGCCTGGCAGAGGTGGTAGGTTCCCAGCAAATATTAGCACCTTTCCTTTATCTCCTCTAACGATTTGTTGATGAAATTAGTGTCTCAGCCCTGAAGACTCTAGTCTGACCTCTGCTGGGCACTTACTGTAATGCATCTCTTAAAAATGATACCTAGCATTTGCCTGTCGACCCAGCATTTCAGGCCCTAAATGGTCATTCAGTTATTCAAGATGCGTTTAGTGAGAGCCTGCAGTGTGCTGGGCACTGTGGTTGGCCCTGGGTTACAGGGATGAATAGACAGACAGGGCCCTAGCTCGTGTGGAGTCACATTGCCAGTGCCTCTCAAGAGCTCCAAAATGGTAGACATAATTAAGCAAATGCTTTCCTTGGGGTCCAACCATGGTAATTTTTTTTCCTCCCAATATTTCCCCTCTTTCAGTAGAGAATCTCCACCTGAAAAACTAGTCCACCAGCTTCGGTTCTGTGCAAGGCATGATGGAGCCACAAAGAGGTAGTAGCTTCATGCTACTGTGCCCGTGGTTGCTGCTTGGTAAATCCTTGTTGCTGGTTTGCTTGGGCTTGCTCTGCCTTCACGGCCTCTGCTGGGTGAGAGCAGACTCCCAGCCTAGCGGTGGCATCTTCTGGCTGGTCGGCCCCTGCTTTGACTGGTCCCTCCTTCTAGGACAGGAGGCCAGGCTTCTCAATGGGCTCATCTTTCTCACTGCTTCACTGCACGCTGCCCATCTTGTTGCTGGAATCACATTCACTCCAATTTATGTCTTTATTTCTAGGCCAAGTTTATAATTAAAAAAAAAAAAGGGGTGCTTATCTGGGAATCAAGTCAAGAATAGTGTCTTACAGCTTCATGATGAAAGCAGTTTTCTCAAGAAAGGAAGGAAAAGTCTTCACTTTCAAGGACTAGGATTCAAAAAACAGTTCCTGCTCAATGTAGCATCTCAAACGCAACTCAGTCTGGGAGCTCTTGGGAATTACACCTTGAGCCGGGGAACCTAAACTTGAGGACAAACACTTGCTAGTTCTGGGACCTTGGACAAGACTGTTGCTTCCGGTTTCCCGTTTGTCAGTGAGGATAATAACAGTGCCTGCCTATGGGCATTATTAGAGGATCCAGCACATTCCGTGTGTATGGGGTTAGAACAGCACCTGGCGTACAGTAAGCCCTCGCTACACTGTTCCTTATCGGGAGAGCTTGGATGAGTCACTTTACGTGTCCGGGTGTTGGCTACCTCCTCTGTCAAAGGCAAAAAGGTCGGAATTAAGGGGAGACCATCTCACAGTCTCTTCTAATCAAGCATACTGTAAATCCACTGGGGACCCTGTTTGCTCAGCAACAGATCAACTTAGGCAAGTTCAGCTGGACCGCATTGTCTTCCTTCCCGAAAGCATCAGCTTTAAGCACATTCGTGATGGGTGACAGTGGTCTTAGGCTCTACGACTCTTAGTATGGGGCAGAAGTGACAGGTGTTTCTAAGGGAAGGGGTCTCACTTTCATGAGCTCTTTCCAGCAATTGGGTAAGAGGCTGGGGTCTCTCCCATTTCTTACTGCACCTCCTGCCATGGCACCTCTTCTTGAAGTCCTTACCAGATAGATGGGGGAAATATCATTTCCCTAAGTCCACTGGTGATTCCTTTGGGAGGGGTGGGATTCTCTAAAACTTTTGCTGCAATCCTATTTTCAGTGAGAACGTTCTTTTCTGCTAAAGTTTATGCTTCCTACTTCTGGAAGGTCACTCTTTCAAGAGCTTTAAAATTCTTTATCCTGACTTATTTCATGGTAAATATCACTAGCTCATGTTTACATTTGTATTCCTAGAACTGAATGGTTTATAAGGTCCCAGTTTACACACACACACACACACACACACGTACACCCTTCCACTCTCTCTTTCGGAGCAGACAGGCCTGTTGTCTTGCAGTTGTGTGTGTGTGTGTGTGTGTGTGTGTG